ATCACCAAGACAAAGCTAAAGTGACTAACCATTCACGTTGTCTGCATAGATCGGGTTTGAGGATACGAATGACTAGAGCCTCGGCAAATTTCAGTAACTTTGTGTTTGTTGTGTTGTAGATGGCCTGAAATGCGTGGGGTGGGGTGACACAATGTTTTTGTTCGAACAAATGCTGTGTTATCGAAGATCTTAGTCTTTTATTTTTATTTAGTCGTTTATTCCGATCGCGTATGGATAAACACTTTAAAGTTGACTTATCCGAGGTTCAATTCTTTACCAGTTCAATACAACGAGCCATAGACAGCGGTCGTTCATTCTATCATGGAGTGAGTGCCTACATGTTCATTCGTTTTTTTAAATCGTTATCTCACTGACTATATAAAATGACTTTGACTGCAGTATGCACGTGTACAGATGCAGCGAAATGACCATGGATACATTGTGCAAACCCATGTTTCTGACTTCTCTATTCAAAGTTGTGGTCAATGTCATCTAACCCACCTGCAGAACATCGAATCATAGTTTTGATTTAAAAATGGACTCGTTACAAACAAATATCCCGGGCTTTGCAAATTATATATTTGGTGTCGAGAATTCACTTCTGGGATTCAAGTATAGGAATTAACTGACAGAGTATATTACCGGAGACGCATACCTGATGAGTGGCAAAAACTGTGAAATCGGTCCCGTTCTTCTAGGGTTGTTATGTCGTCATTCATAAATCGGCATGCAATGTGATTGTGTATCGCAGGGTACTAATCTGAACTATTTGATTTCAAAGATGTTAATAAGGTAAGTTTTTTCTCCGCAGATAAAACGCTCAATGGTCTTATAATAGACCAGTTGATTGCAAGGTCGGTGCTAGCCTACATTCAAGCAATATTCACTGGCGGTTTCTTGAAATAAGCCCCTGGACGGCAGGTTAGAAAGAGGCCAACTAATCACCAATTACAGTGATTTACCATGAAATAATTGCTATTTATTTGTTCGAACTGCTTCTTTTTTAAGTAGCTGAATAAATTGGTTGGACTAATGATGATAGATTTATAAATATCTAAAGATATGTCCCGTCTAAATAAATAATCCATCTTGTCAGTATCACGCTGCGGAATCATTTTACCTTTCCGGCAATTCGGTGAATATATTGTTAAATTGTCAGAACCATCAAGGTGCCAGATAGTCGGAGTATTCGCCGTTTTGAGGTATCTTAAAATAAACAGTCGCACCCGCAGGTTGGCTGGGGTAAAGCAACGTATCCGTCTATCCCCCAATGGGCTCCAGTCCTTAATTCGTAATGATGGCGAAAGTAATTATTCTCCGCGTCATTCCCCTGGTCAACCGCTGTTATTTAAGGGTGTTCCATTTTCAATCCAACCCACTTGGTTTGATTTCCTCCTCTATCTCTCCTTTCGCAGCCCCAGTGCCAAACTTCCCAGAGGATTTCGTTCCCAACCGATCCCGTTCGAAAATCATACGGATAAAGGTCTTCTTGCTCGAGGCTTTGAAGAGCATTACAAGTTGGGTCGTTTATTCCGATCGCGTATGGATAAACACTTTAAAGTTGACTTATCCGAGGTTCAATTCTTTACCAGTTCAATACAACGAGCCATAGACAGCGGTCGCTCATTCTATCATGGAGTGAGTGCCTACATGTTCATTCGTTTTATTAAATCGTTATTTGTGTTGTCAATTATGACGTTTATTGGGGGACAATCCTTGTTTCTAGTTCACACACTCACATCAGGGCGCTGTTTTTGGTTGTGCTGGGTGCAATACTACAGTTGTGAGGAGTCTGCCAAGCTCAAGCTGATTTATATTCAGAAATACGTGTTTGAAGTGGACCCATTTGCTCACCATTTACCGTACTGAACGTAGAACGTAGTCACCAAACACCACTTTATCACTCCGTTCATTCTCTCCATTTCCTGCGCACCTCAGTGGTTATGGATTGACGTGTGCTCTGCTTTTACTCCATCGTGTCTTCTCTTTCATCCCGCAAACGAAAAGGTAGTATTCAACTGTTGCGCGGCGGTGTTTTAAAATTTGAGCTGGACTCACCTCAACCACTGTCCGCGGAATCTATCAGGGTTCTCACTGATGCGCACCGCCTATTGAAAACCCAATTTTTTTCATCATCCATCACGCACTCGTCAAACATCTTGCGGTGATTTAACAAAACGTCAACAGCCTATCCCAATGAAAATGCAGTGTATCATTATCTTTCACACTTGTCTGGGGCAAGGCTGTGCGCCTAACAAATCATGGTATAATAATCTTTATGAAAAAAGAGAAACTTTCCGTAATTGGCTTATTGGCTGAATACTGCCAGGTTCCCCAGGCCCAGGCGGGTGAATTTTCTTGAGGAATTCATAACCGGAGCCTTGGGCTAGCCAAAGCCTGACCCGCAAGGCAGCCGGGCGTTGTGCGAAAACCGCAATCCATTGGGAGCCGGTGCCCGGTTCATCGGATCATTCGCCCTTCGAACGCGGTCAGACTTCCAACGTGTCCAATACACCTCGATTTCAAATTGAGCAGGTGACCACTGCCATAACCAGGAAGTTGTGTGTGTGTGGTCCGTACGTCTCCTCATGGTTGGTTTTGAATCAGGGACTTTGGAAACTCCCCTAGGTGAACTACCAGTGATCCACCAACCTGGTTATAGCCCCGGATATCCGCATTCCTTCCTCTCACTGGTGGGAAACACATCCGCCGCTCGCTCTACCCAATCACTCTTCACCGGTTGTTTCTGTGGACGCTTGTTGCAGTGCTTCGGTTGTTCG